GTTCAGCAGCAACAAGCAAAGATGCAGAAAGCAGTAGGTTTGGATTCCAGCTTTCCTGGAAAAGAGAAGAATGTTATGCCGGTGTCTGCAATCATTACCTGTGGTAGAGAAACCTCCGAAGTGGATAGGGATGGCCATGCTCGAGGAAGTCTGGAGAAAGAATTCTTCCTTCCGGGACACGGAGAGACCAGAAAACAGTCCACTCTGCCACATAGTTTCCATGAAAAAAATGAGCTTAAGGGTCATCTGGACCCATCACTGAGCAGCATACAAAGTGAAGAGACCAGCAAGCAGCATGTGGTCATTAGAGAGCCCATAATTCCTAAATCAATTTTGGTGACATCTCAGTCCAGAGAATTGAAGGTAAATGGTGAAACCAATGCTTTGCTTGTTTTCATAAGTCAATAGAAAGACAGGGAGAAAGGGTCAGGAGAACATTACTTGCTCTGTTCCCACTGTGTAAATTGGAACTTGGAGTCAGAATTGTTAGAGCTTTAGCAGCCAGGGGCTGTTGGCAGTTTTTTCAGCCCCTGCTTTCCTTAGCCCTTGGGCAGAAAACTGTAGCACTTCACTGTAAGGCTCCTCATAATTTGTATATGTGATTTATATACTCAGGGAGAGCCACCTGGCGCAGTGCTGCTGCTACATAGCTTATTTCCTTAAGTGTGAAGGGCAGGCTGTTGCCATGATCATCCTCCAAGGCAGCACAGATAGCCTGACATTTGGGGGTGTGTGATGCAGGGAAGTCAGCATTTTGTTTAAAACCCTGGAAAATACTGCCTTAGCCTGGGCAAGTCCCCTGGCTCCCCTTTGTATTTTATGAATTAAGAAGATAAAGGGCTGGTGAGCAAATTACTGGTAGAGGCATAGATAAAATCCAGCTTCTAAGCCACAGCTGCCAGTCGTCTCCTAAGCTGTACCTTTGAATGTCCTGCTAGATGTATAGGAAATCTTTATGAATTATTTTCTTCCCAGAAGGAAGCTGGTCGTGTGACTTTTCAGTCTGACCCTGAAGAATATACCATACCTGTGAGCAGCTGGTCTGTGCGTCCGTTCCTGGGCTATGACTGGATTGCAGGTAAATCCTAAACTTGAAGCAAAACTCTCAGCATGATGCACTAGTACGAAGAGTTAAAACACAGTTTACGACCCCTTTAAGTTGGGATGTGATAGAACTTCAGACCTAGACCCCACGTAGCAGGTCTCAGCAGGGGAGCTGCAGTTTTGTCAGAAGCCATTCCCTGTCCAGGCCAGAGGTGACCCGTGCTTCCCTGGAACAGTGAAGTGGCAGTGGTATGGGAATCCAGGCAGCAAATGGCAAAGCAGAGTGGGGTCAGAGGGGATACCAAGTAACTGAAAGGAACAAATGCAGTAAGAGGCCCAAACCATGCAGTAAGTCTCTGGCTTGACATGATGGCCTGCTCTTCTCATTATCGATTTTAGTGCTTCAGACCTTTGGTTGTTTTTACTGTTTTGCATGAGGCTTGCTTTGGGGCTTTCCCAAATTTGGTAAATCCTTGGATTTCTCTCTTTCCTTGGTGTTCTCAGGGCTCCTAGATGCAGACTCTTCAGTAGCAGAAAAATCTGATCAATACTTTGCAGAGCTGCATGAGTTCCGACAGGCCAACAAAGAAGCATGTGTTCATGAACAGCACCTGGAGTAAGTGGGTATGGGGGAAGGGCTGAAGCAGCAGTGTCTCCCTTTAGAGTAATTAGAGGTATAGTCTGATTGGAGTGAGAAATTTTAAGGGTGGCTTTGTAGGCCTTTACCTCCCAGTCACAAATGTATGCTTGGCAAAGGTGGGGCCTGCCCCCCTGTCACTACCTGCCCTGGTTTCGTCTGGGATAGAGTTCATTTTCTTCCTAGTAGCTGCTGTGTTTTGGATTTAGTATGAATCCATACTAAGAATGTTGATAACACATACTGTTGTAGTTGTTACGAAGTAATGGTTACGTTAGTCAAGGACTTTTTCAGCTTCCCATAAAAGCTGAGAGGGACCATAGACAGGACTAGCTGACCGAAGGACTATTCCATACCATGCTCAGTATTTAAATAGTAGGGGAATAATAGGGGCTGGGGGGGGGACAGGAATTCACAATAGCTGCTCGGGACAGGCTGGGCAACCAGTCATCGGGTGGTGACAGTCACTTATGTTGTATCACTTTGTTTTGTATATTCTTTTACCCTTATTATTATTTTTCTCTACTATTACTGTTCTATTAAACTGTCTTTATCTCAACCCATGAGTTCCCTCTTCTCCTTACCCTACTGGGGGTGGTGGGAGGAGGGAGGGAAGGAGGGGTGTGAGTGAGTGGCTCTGTGGTCCAAGTTGCTGGCTGGGGTTAGACCATGGCACTAACTGATTTGTTTGGGTGTTTCTTTAGGCCCAAGGCTCTGGATTACGTAGTTCCTGAACAAGAACCAGATTTGATAACCAGTTCCCATAAGTGTAAGATCAGATTTCTTTCTAATCCAATTTCTGTGAACAAACAATGGGAGCAGTCTTTGCCTGACATTCTGAGAGCCCCACATCGTGCAAGACAAGGAATAATGTGTTATTTTTAGCTGCAACTTGTAAACCAGATTCAACTTCGTATTCCAAAGATAGTTGAGTCTTCTAGAGATCCTCTCTCAATCAGTGTCATCTTGGTTTTTTAGAGTTTCTTGTAATGGGCTAATACTATCTTTTTAAGTTGGGAGGTTGAAGTTTTGTTTTTTAGGAACTTATTTGGGGATAGGAAACATAAAAGATATTTCAGAAAAAAGCAACTCTTTCTATAGAATGCATATGTGGCACTGTGGTAGAACATAGCTTTGTTGACTGTGTTGAGCAACCTTCTGTCGAACTAGAAATACCATGATGTTTCACTACTCTGTGGCAGGTGTTTACTGTTATCGATTAAACCAGCGCCTCTTCACTGTCCCTATGGATTCAAAATCTGCCTGCCCCATGTGTAAGATCCCGCGTACTCAGCAGCCCCCAGAGGTACTGGAAGAGCCAGCCTATGTCAGGTAGGTAAGAATTACTGCTTTGTAATATGCAAGAAAACAACGGGGAAGAAAAAGCTGATCATGTGAGGAAGAAAACAGCATCAAAATAGCTCTGTAGAAGGTTACTGTTCTCAAGGCAGAATTATCTCTTGCTTAAAAACTCACCACTGATGTTTTCCATAACCAGAAATGGTTTTGAAGTCAGCAAGAAATGCATGTTTTATCTGAATTTGGTCCAGAATCTGAATGTACATGTTAAGTGTCTAATGCCCTAATCCAAACTGTTTCACTTGTTTCACTTTGGGATTAGACCCTTGGGTTCTGAGTGTAGAAGGCAAGCAGATTTCCACTGCTTTGTGGAACGTGTAGGCAAATACTTTCTTTGTGTGGTTGCAGGGTCAGCATTCCCAGGTCTACCCTAATGCCTGCCTACAAATACAAAGCCCATCGCAGGAAAAGCTTTGAACTGGCAGACAATCTAGCATTACCTTCGGTAAGTTGCTGTCTTCTTGCTAATACTGATGGCACAGCCTGGGCTGGGCATTGTTTTACAGCACAAGAAGGAAAGAGAATTTGGGACTTATCCCCCTAGAAGGGTTTCGACTAAAATTTCTGTCTGCGTCACTGAGAAAGCAAGAAAAGCCACTGGTGTGTGCTTCTGAGTTCATATCTTTTGTGTAACTGGCATAAAGTATATGACGTATCTCCAGATACTTTACACTGAGAAAAAGAAAGTGCCGTATGGAGCTGTGTACTTCTGGGGCATGATTCAGCTGACTTATTTCAGGTATTGACCTTTCAACATGATGAACAACACTTAAGAGTGCCTGTGTTTCTTTCCACAGATGTTAGAGAGTCTAAAACACAAGCTTCTGTGAAGTATTCACAGTGTATAGGGGCCAGGCAAAATCGGTAGTGGCAAGGGTGGATTTTAAACTGATTTTGTAGAGTTGGTCTTGTATTCCAGCCACTAGGCAATGCTGCAGGCGGTATTACTAATCAGACCTAGCACTGGCCTAGAGATTTCTAGGGAAGAGGTAGGAAGAAGCCTGGTTTTGAGGTTTAGGGAACTGGATGAGTCAGTTGAGACAGGTTCAGAGAGGTCGGGTGCTTGAGTTCACAAAGCAGGAGATCGGTTTAGACATAATTAGTCAGTGAGATGTGGAAGAGGGGACAACTACGCAGTTTTGCTTCATCAGAGATTTCTTCTCTTTCCTGTTAGTCGTATAAAACTCCTCATAAATTAATTAATTACCTTCCAAAAGCTCCCTGTGCAGAAGTTATTATTTAGAACTAACAGGCCACAATAGATAAGAAAGGGTAAAGCACTCCAGTGTGGCATTCCCATCTCTTTTCACAGCATTGCCTGGCTGGCTGGAAAAATATCATCCCTTCCAGCGACCCCACACTCAGCAGTTTGGATCTGCGAGCTTCACTGGAAGAGAAGCCACCTCACTATCCTCACCTGGTAAGAACAGCCTGTTAGGAGTCCCTGGAGATGCTGTGAATTGCACAGATGGGAATTGCAATCCCATCGCTAAAGGGTATGATAATCCTTGATTGCTGAGCAAACAAAAATGCCTGAAAGATTATCTCTATCTCCACAAGGAAATATTTTTTTTCTGCTGCTGTGTAAACTGGTGTGCGCAGACACAAAAAAGCAAATGGAGCTGGATAAAAGGCAAAAGCCAGTCTAGCTCACCAATCTTCATCAAAATGGGAAAAGATACTTCGGCAATCTTTGATTAATATCCTCTTCATTTGGATTCCAGAACTCTGTGTCCAGAGTGTGAGGAGGAACCAGAACTGACCAGCTTCTGAACCTAACCCACTCGACGCAGCTCCAAATTTAAATACACCTGCCTCAACTCTGTGAACCGCCGACTTGATTGCCCTGTGGAAGGGTTTGAGGCCAGGTGTGGAAACAACTCTATTTGGATAAAAATAAATCTTGGAACAGTTTTTTCCTAGTTTTCATAGTTGTGTGCATATGTGAGCAACAAATACACATAGCTGAATGTGCAAACTCTCATATATGTTTTTTCACTTTTCTTTTTTGCCTTTTGCAGCTACTTCTAAGCAGATGCATGAGCTTTCACACCTAGGGCTGGATAAAGTGATGTGTACAGGATGACTAGTACTGTTACTACTAGGACAGCCATAGCAACAGAGTTCATCTACCACCTCAACTAAGTAAACAAGAAGTGTAACGTTAACTCTGATTGCCAGGGTGAGGAACTGGCCTATGAATGGCCTGGTTCAGTAGAATGCATACAAGTATGGTAGTTTTGAAAGGTTTGAAACATGTCACATAATTTGCTCGTGCCTTAAACTTGAATTTAGTCAAAACAAAAAAAAATCCAATTTATTTTCAGTGCAATGTCTGTAGCTACAGGGTGCATTTACATCAGAGTAATTATAAATATAAAAAAGCATATCAACGTAAAATGAGATTTTATTAATCAAAAAGCTAGCTAATGCCATGAAGTGTTTGCAAATTATGCTTGCCTCTGCTTTTTCCAAGTTTTTTGGAGATAAACCAAAAAACATTTTGGAGTTCTTAAATTGTACCAAACAGAATATAATATATAGTGTGTTTTGTTTGAACTTTATAGACTGATGTTACTTTCCTTGTCTAAAAACAATAAAACTGATGTTTTATTTTGCTTTGAATAAGCCTGAAACAGAAATTCCTGCCTCAAGAATTCTGTAAGTTACTGTGAAATCTTTACTAGCAATTGCATTCAGAAACTTTGAATCAAATTTATTTCTGGGAGCTAACTTGGCAGAAGGACTTGGGTTTATGCCAATGATATTTTCAGCTTCTTGGCATTCACTGCTGTTTTTATATCAAATACATTATTTATAAATCAAATGTAGAAATAGACCTTTTTAAGCAAGGAAAGGAATATTACAAGTTTATGAAATCTTAATGTGACACCCAAAATGGAAAATGAAAAGCGTGACTGATCAGTTTAGCTTTAGGTTTTGCATATGTAGGGTAAAGAAAATGGAATTGGTCCCATTATTTCCATTATTGAAAATACTAATTTTAAAAGAAATAATCCAGTGAATATAAAACACTAGCTGCGAAATGTTACACTAAAGAGGGCAAGTTCAAGATTTTTACTACCTTGCCTTCAAACCCAAAAAATTAGCAGTCACAAATGGCTTCTTAATTCATCCTGAAATAAATTACAACAAGCCCGCTCCACTTTATAAGTAGAGAAAATGAAGCACTGTAAGATTAGGTGACTTATGTGAGATCTATCTGGTGAATGCAGGATGGAACCAATGTTGAACTGAAAATGTCTCTTGATAGCTAGAAATATGTTCAATCTTTTACACTTGCGAAAGTTTTGAAAGTGTGATTATGACTCTCTGCTTCCACTAGAAACAGGTGAAAAGTCAGTGACACTGCACCTGCTTACCCAAGTTAACCTCAATTTGTATCTTTATATGTTGGTTCTGGCCTGTTTGATCCTGCGTTCATTTGCAAGCTGAAACAGACTGAAAATGAGACCCATTTGTAGAACCTCTTCCCCCCCATCTCCCTCCATATCCCTCCATCGCAAGGCTAAGCCTTACAATGCCAGATCTTGTTCAAAGTAGCAAATCTTTAGAAAAGGTTGTTTTCCCCATACGCACACTTCAGGCTAACTTTAACTTTTCCTTCGTACTCTTCCTCTTCTGTTCTCACATCCCCTTTCAGGTGGAGCTTCTCACAAATGCTCAGTCTCAAAATACTCGTTTTTTTTAAATTTTCTGAGCCATCCCATGTGCCCTTTTTGCTAATAAAAAGTAAATAAATTTCACTTTCACATTAAGAGGACTGATTTAAATTTCCATGTTAAAATATTGGCACCTTAGTTCACTTTCTTGTCTGAACTGGTATAGGGAATTGTTTCCTTTGCTTTTTGTTTATTACTCTTTCAGAGCAGAAAATCTGATTTGCCTGTTAACTTAGAGAATGACCTGATGGTTGGTTTTATAGTTATATCTCTGTATCAGTGCAGAATAAGCTTATATCATCATCCTTTTTGCATAGGGAATCTAACCAGTGTACTCAGGTTTTCCAGCAGAGCTTAAGCAGACTGTACGTTTTGAAATTTCTACTCTGCCCAGGTTGGTTTGTAGCTGATAGTATACAGAAACAGATTTTTCTGCTGGCCAAGTTGGTCTTCTCGTTCCATTCATAATTGAAATTATCGAAGATTTTGCAATTGGACCTTGGTTAATATTGTTGATACATGATCCAGAATTTAATCTAGAACCTTTTGTTTCTATCTGCACCATTTCTTTAGAAGAGAAACAGGAGGTCTGAAAGTGAGTAAACCTGTATTTTTTTTTAAGTAGGACACCTGGCCATGGACATGTATGGAGGCCGCATCTTCTAGTAAGAAGGTGATTCATGTGTAGTCAAGCTTCTGCTTTCACAGTCTCACTTCAAGGTAGATTTACCAAAAAGTTTCTTGCTCTGATTTCATGTGACCTGCAGCTGAGGTAAACGTGTGTACCCCTTTCATCTGTTTTCTCAGAATCGCTCTGCGGAGGTCTGTGCCAAGCCATGTGGCTGCTGGTTGTATTCAAGATGTCAAAGTTACCAGTCCTAGTTAGTTTCATTTGAAAAGCAGTACTGTAAGGAATAACAAGAGAAAAGTCATTCCTGGAAAGCAAGATCATGCTTTATGAGAACCAGATTTTTTTTTTTATTTTTGGTACTGAATATGAGACAAAATTTCATTTCAAAAGATGAGCAAAGGAAGTTTTATCCAGCCTAGAGTAATGCTGAATAACAGGCCTGCACAAGACGCCTTTGAACTGTGTGCTGTGAGGAGTAGTTTGGGTGTGGATACATTTATGAGTTATAGTGTAATAACAAGGTTTTGCACAGTGTCTTTCTCCTGCAGTAAGTGTTACACAACCCAAGACAAGACACGCTTTCATGAATGAGGGTGACTGAGATGTCACCTGGGGGTACATTGTAAAGGAATACATCTGTTTACTGGTTGAAAAATTGTATTTTGTTCAGTGTTAGAGCAGCTTCTGCACTTGGACTGTGGACTCTGCAGCAACCTGAGCTGTGATGGAGCCAGTGCTGGAATCTACACTTCCAGGGGAGAACAGAGGGTGGGGAGTAGTGTGTGTGGGATGTCGGGATTGTGGGTTAGGAAAACGGGAATGTTTTGAGTCTGGGTTTTCTGGAGAGGAGGCTAAGCAGAGGTTAGACTGTAGGAATATATAGTAGGAAGTTGGCAAAATTGGAAGCTACTATGTTGCTCACATTTCGATGCCACTGAAGTTGGAATAGCCAAAGTGAAGCCCAGCATTCTTGACTTGTCCTGGATTTTATTTTATTTGAAGCATGCTGTGTTAGTCTGTACAGCTGTGTCTTTTGTTAATGGCTGGCTCCAGTGTGTGTGAACTAATGACTCCCACTCCTGTGTTTCAAACACAAGGACAGTCTTCCCCAAACATTTTTCTTTTCTGTTTTTGATTGAAATGTATAGAATTGGAACTGTTGGTGCTTTTTCAGTTTCCTTGTTTTACCTCCCAGACACATACATACAGCACATTTCAGTTGCAATGATAGCATTAACAATTACGTATCAGTGAATAAATGGAAAATATTTGCACAAAGGATAGTTAGCAAGGAAAACTCAGGCGTATCTCCTTATTCTTTTGATCTTAGTAAGATTCTTTGCCTTTCCAGTAATAGAGAGCCAGAGTTACTCTGCTGAGTTCACTAGAGTTTGTTTGGATTTAATTTGTGTAAATGTGGGCAGAATTTCTTGTTGTTAGAAGGAATTAAAATGCTCACAATTCCAGTAATCTTCTAAAAGGGTGTATTTATTCCCAAAGTAAAAAAAAATAAATATAGGCAGTGCAGTAAGAACGTAAGTAATTTCCAGTAAATGATAGAGTAGTGTTTAATCCTGAAACAACCGGTTTGTTTGGGAACTGTTTATTGACTTACAGATGAACTTAAGGGTTAAATGCTTTGCTTAAATAACTGAACCTGGCTACAAAAGACCTGTCTGTCAGTTCACACATATCTGAAAGTATAGATCTTCTGTGAAATTATAAGGTTCAGCAAAAGCTTCCTTTGCCTCTCACTTTGGTCCTGTCCTATTCTTGAATCTCTCACTTCATCGTAGCTTACACTGAAGTTTTCTTTAGCGTCTTCTGCCAAGAGTTCACAGACTGGAATTCTTGAGTGCCTGGTTTGATTCTGTTCACAGTTGAATAACACCTTCCAAAAACTGTAGGTGAAAACTGGGTCTGATGGATTAGATTTTAGTTTTAACGAATCTCAAATAATTAATACCTAGACTGGAGTACAAGAACACCATCAAAAATGCTCAGTCTGATACTCAAAATTTAAGAAATGCTAGCATGAAAATTTCTTTGCACATGCCCATTACCTCTAACATGGTTTTTATTTACAATATCCAATCAAGCCAAACTTCCCTCACCAGTTGTCTTCCTCACTTGTGAGTTGGTCTCCTTTCTCTCCAGTCCTAGTCATGAGTTTCTTCTAATCTAAGCATTTTGATCCTTTCAGTTGATTCTGGTTTTGTCCTCTATATGAATTATATGGCACTTTCTTTTGAAAACTTCATTTTGAAGGTCTCCTTGAGACTAAAGGAGATAGTCTTCCTCTTCTCACTTCCAGTTCCTGGTCATATGCTGATGAGGAGAAATTGCTGCAGAGAAAGTCTAGTTTTGATTCTGAAACTCCGTGTGGGAATTCAATGATGTGAAGATACTGTACAACAGGCAACTTTGGGAGTTGTGAGCGGCTTAAGAACGCTTAGAGAGAATGAATTTATTTGAGAACTCCCCACTGAAA